AAGTCACTGATTTATTTTTTACGGCTTGTCAACCCTTTGTAGATTAATACTTAACATTTTTGAGATACCAGGGGAAGAGATGGAATTTATACCGGTTAACTGAAGTATGGATGATTTTATTATATATATATATATATATATATAATAAAATCATAATAATGTAATTTACACACACACACACATATATATATATATATGTGTGTGTGTGTGTGTGTGTGTGTGTAAATTACATAGAATAGAAATTCCAAATTACCCTATTATTTATATATGCTCTGATATAATAAATACATTGAAATCTCTTTGTGGATCAGCTTTAATATTTTATATTATTAGATTCACCTGGATTATATACCAACAGTTATTACCTATATATATATATATATATATATATATATATATATATATATATATATATATATATATATATATATACAAGTACATAATTGGTGTATACGGAATGAATTCCAATAACAAACAATTACTATTCTTAAAAGAGTGCTCAATACACAGTAGAGTAGATATAATTATTTATTTAAAAAATATTATAACAAAAATATGTTATAAAATCACTACAAAAATAGCCATTTTGTTTCAACACCTCTGGTGTCTTATGCACACACACACACACACACACACACACACACACACACACACATATATATATATATATATATATGCATACACATAAATATATTGCTTATACCGCTGTAATGTGAACGGAGGACTGCTGGAGGGTCGGTCTACAAAACACTCGAGTTGGGATGTCGAAGATAACACCAATCAGCTAAGTGACAGACGTTTTACTTGAAATAATTATATATATATATATATATATATATATATATATATATATATATATATGTAGAGAGAGAGAGAGAGATAGATGATTATAGTGGTGAATGTTTCGTGCAGGACCACCCACACTTTTTAAAGGGCCGAATACAGAGACCTGGTGCACTACGTGCCACAAGGTTTCCAAACGACCCTCAGCTGGTTTTGAAATCAGAGTTGACCTTCTCCTAGACCAGTTGCCATCCAAGGCTATAGAACCCAGTCTGTCCTGCTATTTAGCCATAGCTGGAGGGAGAAGAAGAAGATTCATGCCTTTCCCAAGGATATTAGCACACAAGTGAATGTAATGAATTCGGCTGTCCGATTCCTCAATTCCTGCCGCTTATCCATTACTCCACCCTACCTCCTATATATATATATATATATATATATATATAAATATATAAAGGGAGCACACCATTATATATATATATATATATATATATATATATATATATATATATATATATATATATATATATATATATCAAAAATGCTATACATTAAACCAACTCAAAAAAACCTAGGTAAATTATGGATGACCATAATTGATGTCTAACAAGTGAAAGTTAGTAAATGCTACATTATTTGGACTATTGTCCTCATCTTTGTCGCCATATTTATCACAACGTTTCGCCCGTTGTACGCTCCGGCCTTCTTCAGGTGGTTGGAATTTCGAACTGAAACCTTTATTTCGCTCACTTGGGTTGACTGTTCTAGTTCCACGTGCCATGTTTGATGGATGTCAGTTATTAGTTATCTCCTGCTAATTTCCCTCTGAAATTTCTCCACTGCCTTAACCGGGTATTGAACTAGCACTCTTTGGGTCCTGTCACTAGATCTAACCAACGCCTTTATCCACTATGCCATACACATGGCACAGTGGATAAAGGCGTTGGTTAGATTAAATTAATATTCGTATTTGCCAACGCGATTCGACCCCTGATGGAATTCATCAAAGCAAATGAAAGGATTTTATTTTGCAATAATTTTTTTACCAACAAAAATAAAAATCTTAGCTTTTCAAAAATTTCAATGAAGATCCCCACTGGGTACCCTATTCTTTTGGCCTTGTACCACATCAAAGCTACGTTCAGAAAAAAAAAAACCCTCTTGGGCATTTCGACGTGGTTGTAATGGTCAGCAAGATTGTCTCGCTAGATCAATTACGATGGAGTAGTAAGTTCGATCCTCACTGGATGCTCAATGCTTTCGGCCACATCTAAGGTACCCCTAGAAAATCTCTATACATCCGGGTAATTGATTAACCTATGGTGATGGAATTTAAACCAAAGTGAGTAAATGTTGATCTAGTTGAATTTTTTTTATATATATATATATAGTATAATGCAGACTAATGCGTACGTATATACGTCTGGATTGATATATTCACCACAAAGACAGTTCATGCCAATGGAACTTGACCGGGTCGTAGAAAACGAAACCGCTCTCGCTGGAGTCGCGCCAGAAGCTACAAGGCATTAATAATGGTAAATTCAGCGCCGTTATTCGCAGTCATTGGCACTGCCTTTAATTCCCGTCACTTTTATTATGCTATTTTCAATATGTTTCGTTCGCTCTGATGACTGAAAGTAAAACCATTTCCCTGTCGGGGATTATGAGAAAGCTTCGTACTATACGATCATATTAAAATCATACTAGCTTCAGATGTAAATACCCGTAAAAAAAAAACGAACAGTATGCAAAAGGGAATATTTTAGATGACGTGCAAATCTAGCAGCCAAGAAAAATGATTATGATTTCTGCGGATTTTACAAGTATCTACAGGTAGATCCTTTTTTTATCCAGGTTTGTGTTTCGTCTTATTTTTCGTTGCTAGCTTTTAACGTAACATTCACGTCATTTTCTTAAACGCTCGACGACTGTTGAGCTTATGGCCATATCACGTTGAAACACGTTTACCAAGTGAATATAAACAAACCCGACCGGAATTCGAACGTGGATCCCCGATTTACGATCGTGATCCATTTTCTATTACACCACCCGCACATCCAAGCCTACAGCATCTGGTACTCTCAAGCAGTCACCTATGAAGGATGTTTTCCCAATTACTAAAATCTTGACCTCTTCATGATTGACAATTATCTTTCCTTCCATGTATTTTACTTTTAACCCTCTACCTTGAGTGGTTCTTGAGCCTTGTATTGGATGAACGTTAGCATTCCCTCCGTATCCTATCGGTGAGAAGCAAGTTCCACTCCATCTGCTTCTTCCTTCCCTGTGGAACTGATATAATGGAATATGCGTACACCTGTGTTCCCTCTCACTGGAATATGATTGGCTGGTGTCCGTCATAAATACAGACGGACGTGTAGGAGAGTCAAGAGCCTTAATCTGAGTCGTAGAGCAGTCTCTAACTGTGTGCGATTTCTGTCGAACTCTCAGCTTTGGCAGAGGGGAACCCGGGCGAGGCTGTGCCGAAGGGCAAAGTTTCGTCCGGGGAGGTAGACAGATCCCGAACCCGCTTATGTGGGTTCAAAGGGAATATTTTTGGCCGAGCCTGCGGGCTCGGAGAAACCCACGTTAAACTCGGCCTTGTGCCACATACATTCCTCGTGGGGAGACTGTTAAATATAGAGCCTTAGTCTGAGAGCTAAGTCTATAACGACGCCCATTAAACTACGCCATTGATCTACACTTCTTACCTGTGACTACGACGCGTATCAGTCGATTACTGCTACCGTATTTTACTTGGTTATAATAGCCAAAACCACTTAGCTACTACGTTCAAATATATCCCTTTCTCGGACATACCAGGAACCGACACCCTAAAGGATGTTTCTCTGATCACTATAATCTTAACCTGTTCAAGGCTAGGGTTAACCGTTATTTTCCGATCCTATGCACATAAATGGCTTCCTAACGTAACCTTCTACCTCGAGTGAAGCCCCGGGCCTTGTAAAAGGTGAACCCCGCTATAAAAAACAAAAAACTATGATACCCAAATCAGAAGGCATACTGAAATAGTGAAAGATGCCTTCCAAAAACTAAACAATGTATCCAGCAAAATTTCGTTCGAAACAAAGAATGTTGAAATGCTATGTAATAAAAGTCCTCCGTGCTGTGGCCTCCCTCTGCCTCTTCTACAAATATTTTCACGGCAACTGTTCCGACGAGCTACTGTCACTGGTTCCCGGATTTCATGAATTTAAGCGTGCTACTAGGCTGGCATCTCGGTCCCACCCTTTCACTGCCAAAACGGTTAAATTTAACCGTCTCTTCTTCTCAAACAGTTTCTTCTCCCGCACTTCCCGTCTGTGGAACTCCCTTCCCCTTACTTGCTTCCCCGATGACTATAATCTTCAAATATTCAAGTGTAATGTCAATCGACATCAGACACCCTGAGCTTGTTCCCCGTCCTTCTCTGTATATTTTCCTCAAACACACCTCTTTAATCTTATTCTCAATCCTCCGTAACCCCTTGCGTGCTAGTGGTACTCCCACCTTGATTGGGGTGAACTGCCTTAAAAAAAAAAGAAGAAAAAAGAAAAGAAAACAAATTGCATTTAAATTTTTGAAAGTCAAAGCTGACTGGAAAGCAAGAAGCCGGAAGAGATTTCCATAAGCGGGAAGTGAGAAAGAAGAGACTGTTAGCATAGAACTTGCAGTTATATCTAGCCGTTTCAACTGTAAAATGATGAGACGTAGCTGCCAATCTAGTACTGCGCTTCAATATATAAAGTATAGGGACTATAGAGGAAAGCTGATCAGAACAATAACGATGGAAGTATATATATAGAAAATCTAGAGGAAACTTATGTTACAGACAAGAAACAAGAGATAAACCTTCTAATCTTGTTCAAAAGACCAGAGAGGTCTGTGAACTGGGCGATAAGAGACGAGGAACAAATTGAGCAAACTTTAGGAAAAGCGTTCCCAGCGTGTCGCGTGTTTGAAATTCCTAAATAGTTGCAATAACCCCCCCCACACACACACACACAAAATCGCAGGTTGGCTCTGTGGGTGTTGAAGAAATGCTCGTAAGCCCAGAACCTGGGCGTTACGAGCATGTTCGGAAACAAGCAGCTATCCTGAAGATGAGAAAGCTGGTTTGCTTTTAAGTCGAAACGGCTCTGATGATGTTTAAACTTCTATAAAACTCCCGACGGAAAGTTGACTCGAACCGGCACCCTTACTATTTAAAAGCTTACGGCCACGCAACGTTAAAACATCAGTTCACGTACGATCACCAAAGTTAAGCAACGCCGGAACAGGGTCAGTACCTAGATGAGTGACTGCTTGGGAATACCAGGTGCTGTAAGCTTGGATTCGCGGGGGGGGGGTTATGGATGATGGCTGGGGATTGTTAATCGGAGTGCCGAGTTCCAATTCCAGTTGGGTTCGTTATATTCACTTACACGCAAATACCGTCGGAAAAAGGTATGGGTCCACCTCTTTTCCCTCCTGCTATGGGTTAATTAGTAAGACTTGTATATACATTATTTTCTGCTCTCCTCACCAAACAAATTCTTACAAACTAAAAATATTTTCTGGCTAATCCGTAGAAAACGAATCAGTGAAATACCGTAACCATAAAGTGAGGTATCTGTTTATAGGATGATTGATCCCCCACTTTATATCCACATTATAATTTGTTTTGTTTTTTCAAATTCTGATTAGGTATGCATTGAACACTTCTCCCCACACCCTAGCTATGAGTTATTTAGTAAGACTTGTAGCACTAAACCATTACCAAAAAAGAAACATTCTTATAATTATTTTCTGGCTTCCCTGCAGAGGGTTGATAAAGCGTAAAAAAGGGATCAATCAATCAAAATAATATTTTTTTTTAAGTTTAAAAAAAATAACCACCGGCATAATTTTTTAAAAAGAAATAAACGCTCCCACCCACAAGCAAGCCGATAAAGCCACTAGGACTTTTGGTGAAAAGAATCAGGAGAAAGGACAATAAAAGAACAGGATTCAGGAAGACAGAAGGTTGCGATTGTGGTTTCATTTGCATTTTTGAAGATTGTAGTTGGCAGGGAAGCAAGACATCTGAAGGGAGTTCCACAGGCGAGAAGTGAGAGAGAAGAAGCTATTAGAATAGAACATACGGTTGCGTCTAGTTAGTTCAACAAAGGTGAGACCTAGTTGTCAATCGAGTAGTACGTTGAAATTCATGCAGTCAAAGCACTAAGGAACATGAATGTTGCTACATGCCTTACTTCTTGCCTATCTCACACTGCGAATTTTTTCCAAGCTCTATACTAAACATTATATCTGTTACGAAAAAAGAACTAAACAAAATGAACACAAAACGATCAGCTTTAAAAAAGGACTCGTAACTGGAAAAACCGAATGAAAAAAGAATGTTAACAACAAATACTTTTTCACACCCAACCCAGTTCTGCGGAATCAGAATCAACGTTGAGTTTAAGCAAGCGAATGAGCCAAGTGGAGTAAAGTGCTCATCAGAGCAGTTGCCATAAAAATATTTGCAGAAAAGTCAGAGGGAAAACCACGATACGTCGGTGAGAAAGTGACTGAAGTCGAGATGCCAGGTCAGGATCGATTACATCACAGACCCTTCTTTGTCAATAATCTTGAGATATATGGTAAGAGTAGCATTACGGATGGCACAACAAAAGAGAAAAGAAAAAGACCCCCTTCCCCCCACCAATAAAAAAATGAGAAAAAGAATGGCGAGAATAAAGTATTATTATAACGTATTATATTAGATTTATCATTTTTTCTTTTATTTACCTATAACTAACTGGATGATATCATGTGGCCTGTATTAAAGTCAGCTTCACTCACCTGGGAGAAGGTACCATGGGACTTCAGATTAGGGTATAAAATACCCTTCCTCGCCGCAGCTACACTTGTAAAATCCGATACGTCCAAACGGTAAAGACAGCTACAGGAAATCGACATTTTTTCCCCCAAAAAACACTGTTTTTGTTGTTGACTATTTACTTGGTAGCATTTTTAAATGTCACCAGCTTCTGTAGAAGAAACAGGACCAGAGACTAAGGACGGACAGTCCTTCGTCGACAGATGGTGTTTTTCGTATGGATTTCTAGCCGACTAATACTATTTAATGCTATGTAGACAATCTTGCGTGATACGTCATAGCACCTGACGACTCTTTCTAACAATGGTAGCAGTGCCAAAGCCATTTGTGTTTACGTCTTTCTTGTCCTTTTCTTTCTTAAAGAACCACTCAGAGAAGGACAAGTGCTTGCTGATTGACTGTTTTTTCAATTCACATAAACTGTTGTGCTGTTTTTTTTTAAATGCAGTTCTACAGATGGATGCTGAGGATCCTATAAATTGAAGGAAAATCTTGCTGCTGCTGCTTGTCTTGCCTCACTGCATCCACCGAAGCTTCTCTTTGTTGTCATTTCTCCTTCTTGATTAACGGCTCCCATATCGTATTTATTTCTGTGCTAGGCCGGCTAAGAGGTTCCTTATAGACTAGCATATCAATCTATATGTTTGTAAAGTTCTCTTAATATTCAGTTTTCAGCTACTAAAATTCCCATAAGTGATAAAAATATTTTAAAGACTAGCAGCATGGCCCGGCGTTGCCCGTGCTTGATTCAATAATCGTACGACTCATACAGCAATCGCTATCACTTGACTTAAAATATGTTTGCCCTTCCTTGCCTTTAAAGGAGTGCCCTTTGCCGTGCTGATGTTGCTACATGCCTTACTTCTTGCCTATCTCACAGTGCGAATTTTTTCTAAGCTCTATACTAAACATTAAATCTGTTATGAAAAAAGAACTAAACAAAATGAACACAAAACGATCAGCTTTAAAAAAGGACTCGTAACTGGAAAAACCGAATGAAAAAAGAATGTTAACAACAAATACTTTTTCACACACAACCCAGTTCTGCGGAATCAGAATCAACGTTGAGTTTAAGCAAGCGAATGAGTTAATTGGAGTAAAGTGCCATGCAGATTTAAATTTTTCCCACTTGTGACGAATGCAGCTATCGATTTTTTTTGCATGCTAGCATGCTAGTTAACATTCGTGTCAGTCAGCTGTTGGCTCTCACACTGGCCAATAGAATCTTCCTGCCTATTCGTGGCAGCCAGCTATTGACTCTCACTCTGGCCAGTACAAAGTGGCCGCAAACTACATGAAAACTGCTGTAGAAGCATGAAAACAATCGATTATTTCCACTATCGATGGGAGTTGGGAAATGCAAAGTCGGTCTTAGCCTTCCCGCTAACTTGGAGCATGTGCATGTAAACTTTGGTGCAAATCCGTCTAAAATTGCGGCCGTGCATTCGTTACACACACACACACACACACACACACACACACACACACACACACACACACACACACACACACACACACATCCTGCCTTTTATAGATAGAGATTCTCTCAATAAATCCTACGACTTTGCTTCTAAAATGCGCACGATTTAAGATATCACTCCCAAAGTTTCGCCTTCTCAGGCTCACGTTCTATGCTGATGTGAAGTGGAAAGACTATATTGAATCCATTGATAGGCCAGGTGCTAAGAAAGTCAGTCCACTATATCGGGCAAAACAATTTTTTTCTCCTGAATCTATCTTACATATCTATAAGTCTACCATTCGTCCATACTTAGAATATTGCTGCCACATATGGTCCGGTGCCGCTGCTATTTACCTTGGCCCCTTTTATTTCTGTCCCTATTTTTCTTTAAGTTTAATTCCCCATCCCCTCCTTTGTGAGGTGGTCAGTGATGTCAGTTCTCCGGTGGATGCGGGGCGCCTTTCGTTTCGCGTGAGTGTTTTTCGTATTTGTTGTTGTGTTTGAATGAGTGCGTGTTAGTGTGTGCGCGTTGAGATGAATGATTGTTTTATATTATTATAGTCCCGCATTGATTTCGGCCAGTGAAATGGTATTTCTGCCACATTTAGTGATTGGGGGAGGGGTATTACTAATAATATTTTATTTAGTTTATTGTAAATAGTTTTGTACTCATATTGTAAATACTCATTGGGGTTTTTTTTTTAGAATTATTGTTTTATTCCCCCCCACCCGCAGACATTGAATTGTATATATGGGGATTAGTTAGTTTTTTCATAGAGACGATGAGGTATTATGGTGTTTGTAGTTTGAAAGGTACGTATGAATGTGTTGTTTTGGTGTAAGGAATATTGTTCGTACGATTGGGTCAATGTTTGTGGCTAGTTAAGTTATAATTAAGACAGAAGAAGACCGTCCCCTCCACATTCCCCTATTTCGGCCTTGTGCCACATTTCTGTATATATTACAGAATAAATATTGCTATTTACCTTGAGCTCCTTGATAAGATCCAAAGAAGAATCTGCAATATTATTGGTCATTATCTGGTAGCTCAACTCCAATCACTTTCCCATCGCCATAGGGTTGCATCTATATGCCTCTTCTATAAATCCTTTCATGGTAATTGTTCGAATCACTTATTCTCTATGCTACCTAGAGGTTTTGAATTTAAGCGCAGATCTCCTCAATTTACAGTTGAGTTGGCTAGATATAGCCGTAAGTTCTATGCTAACAGTTTCTTCTCTCGCACTTCTTGCATGTGAAATTCCCTCGCATGTCCGTGCTTTCCCGCCAACTTTAATCTGCAAAAATTTAAATGCAATGTCAATCGCTATCTCCTGCCCACCTGATTACTCTCTTTTCCTTCTGCTCATCATTAATGTTTCTGTTCCTAATTCTTCAACACCCTGTGGCTTATTCTGTCTTAGTGGCTTTATTGCCTTGCATGGGGTGATACCGATTTAAAAAAAAAAACGGATATTACATTTTCGATTCTAAAGTCCTCATATTAGATAATAAAATATTTTAAAATCTTCTCAATAGACGTTACAACGTTGGTACTTAAATCGACCTAATTAAGAATATTATATCTGTAGTCTTCTAAATATATATTGATTTTGCCACTAAATACTTTACTTATAAATATATTTTGATTTTGTTGCGAAATTCTGATAAATATATATATCGATTTTGCTGCTAAATTCCTTGCTTAAAAACAATATATTGATTTTGCTGCTAAAGGTATTGATTTTGCTGCTAAATTCTTTGTTTATAAATATAATGATTTTGCTGCTAAATTCTTTGCTTATAAATATATTGATTTTGCTTCTAAATTCCTAGCTTAAATACATGGATTTTGTTGCTAAATTCTTTGCTTAGAAAGGTATTGATTTTTTTGCTAAATTCTTCCAAAATAATCAGTAAATATTTGCAAGTAAAATCCTCTTGGGAGATCATGAAATGTTGCAAATTCCTACTAAATAACACTATTGTTTCTAAAATCGACT